ATTTGTCCAGAAGGAGGAGTACGAAAGAAAAATATACATAAGGTGCCCTCCAAATCTAATGACAACATCCTTTCGCATAAGGCCTACAACAAATCTAGATGTGGGAAAGTACGCAATGCTTCTACTACCAACATTACGTCTACGTCCAAGGGAGACCAACAGCACCCTGAGGAATACAAGGAGCAGCCAACTGCTCGACCAAAACAATAGCCATATGAATTTCATTATTTGGAATTGTAGAGGAGCCCAATCAACTGATTTTCGACATCACTTTCGATCACTCCTTGATTACAATCACCCTTCTTTGGTTGTTTTACTAAAAACACACTGTTAAGACCACCAAGCTCTGAAGGAAGACTTTACTTTTACTGGCATGATAGAAGTGGTTGCTACTGGCCAGTCGGGAGGTATTGTTATCTTATGGCTTTATGATGTACTTACTGTCGAACCAGTGGCAACCACTACCCAAGAAATCCACTGCCATATTCACGTACACCCCTTTACTTTTAAGTGGTTATTTACTGCCATATATGCTAGCAATGATTTAGGTAATAGACAGACTTTATGGAAAAACCTTATGTGTTTATATGATAATTATAAAAGTCCATGGATTATAGGTGGGGACTTTAATAAAATAACTCATGCAAATGATAAATTTGGTGGCCTACAAATTAATAATTCACGCTCTAAAAAATTTTTGGACTGTATCAACTACTGTCACCTTACTGATTTAGGTTATAAAGGCAGACGTTATACTTGCACAAATGGTCGTCATTATAAATATAATATTCTTGAACGTATTGATCGTATTATAGCAAATTATGAATGGCTAAGTAAATACCCTGAGGCACTTTTCATACATCTCCCACATACTTATTCCGATCACTGTCCCCTTCTACTAGAATTGCAACACTGTCCACTATCTCGATAAAAAATATTTAGACTTGAAACAATCTGCACTACACACCCTAGTTTCCCATCCATAGTTAAACAAGCCCGGCATGATAACTTACTGCTGCTACCAGCAATTAATCATTTCACTGACATAGTCCAATAATGGAATCAATTGACATTTGGTAATATTTTTAAACGTAAAAGGAAAATCTTAGCTTGATTAGGTGGTCTCCAATCATCTATAAATTATCCTAATAGCACTTTCTTGCACAATCTAGAACATAAATTAAGGATGGAATTCAATCATCTACTCAAGCTTGAGGAGGACTTTTGGAAATTAAAGTCCTGTATTAATTGGTTAAATGATGGCGATGCAAATACTAATTTTTTTCATCTCACAACTCTAAATCGTCGAAGACATAATCGTATAACTGCGTTACAAGATCTAGGGGGAAATTGGATAACTGACCACATATCTTTAAGAATAGTATTACTAATTATTACCAAAATCTTTTCACAACACAAAGAAACTGCTTCTACTACAAAAAATACTATACAGCCCTCTTATGTATTAACTCATGAGGATCATTTTCGATTTACTAAACCCTTACAAGATTATGAAATTATCGATGCAATTCACTCCTTTAAACCTTTAAAAGCTCCTGGACCAGATGGTCTACACCCTTTCTTCTATCAAAAATATTGGGATACAATACGCAACTCCGTCAAATATTTTTGTCACAAAGTTTTTGTTGACTATCAAATCAACCCTTCTATTAATACTACACACATTTGCCTAATTCCTAAAAATAGGCATGCTTCTTCCATATCTCAATATCGACCCATCAGCCTTTGTAATACTATTTACAAAATTATCACAAAAATAATTGTAAATAGACTAAAACCTATTCTGGAACATATTATTCATCCAACTCAATCTAGTTTCCATAAAAATAGAAGAGCTATAGATAATGTCCTTATTGTCCAGGAAATCATTACCAGATTCCAAAAAATGAAGGATAACAATTAAAATACGCTTCTCAAGTTGGACCTTGAAAAGGCCTTCGACAAATTAGAATGGTCGTCATACATAATACTTTAGTCACCTTAAATTTTCCCCCAACTTTTACTAAATTAATTATGTCTTTCATAACAACTACTTCTACTTCAACTCTTATTAATGGAAACCCTACGGAATATTTCACAGCCACGAGAAGCATAAGACAGGGAGACCCTTTATCACCTTATCTATTTATCCTCCGCCTTGAAATTCTTTCGCGAAAATAAATACAGCGGTTGATTACCACACATGGCTACCACTCTCCCTTGCTAAAAAGGGACCTCAGCTATCTCACTTATTTTTTGCTGACGATATTATTCTCACAGCAAAAATACAGCCAACACTTGTCAATCAATTGTTAATATTATTACTCACTTTACACATCACTCTGGACAAACTATCAACTTTGATAAATAAAAAAAAAACTCAAAAAATTGCACACCCAATACAAGAACATCTGTACTACAATTCTTCCATATGAATGAAGGAAAAAGTTTTGGTAGATATTTAGGATTCCCTATCTTTATAAAAAAAAAACCTTCAAAAAGGGATTACCAATTTTTACTTGACAATTTCAAAAATAAATTAGCAGGTTGGAAAACCAATTTTCTATCTAAAGCAGGAAGGACAACATTATATTGATTCGTTCTACTTTACACCACCTTCCTAATCACCTAATACAATACATTAAATTCCTAACTACATACTATCCTACCTCACTCACTACCAACGAAATTTTCTCAGGGGTACAACTCCACAAAAGAAAAAATTACATCTCATTAAGTGGACTACTACAACACAACCTTTAGATCAAGGGAGCCTAGGAATACAAAACCTAGCTACAAAGAATCAAGCCTTACATGCAAGTCTTGCATGGAGACTGTTTCAAAATCCCCATCAACTCTGGGCATAGGTGCTCCTACATAATTATTTACGACCACCACACTTAATCAAAACAAATGTCTCCTCCACTTGGAGAAATATTATGCGTGGATGGTCCTACTATCGTTTAGGATATAAATGGAATCTTACTACTGATCAACATGTCAAATTTTGGTCTGATCCTTGGATTAAACAAAATTTTACTTCGCACTTGCATAACGGGACCTCTCCCACATCATGAGGAGCAAAAACTTGTTTCTGACTACTACTACAATCACAAATGGCATTTTCAGAAATTACCTTTCATACTACCAAATCACTTACAAACCACTATCACAGATATGTACATGGCTCTCTCACCCATAACCTATGATCAAATTTACTGGGCTCTTACAACAAATGGTATTTTTTTCCGTAAAATCTGTCTACACTTCTCTAACGAATACCACAACTTCACATTACTCCTACAACTGGATTTGGAAACTTCCCATTCCACAAAAAATATCCTTCTTTCTCTGGTTAATTTGCTACAACAGACTCCCAACGACTGTGTACCTTTCAAGATTAGGTATCCTCAATTCGCTTATATGTCCAGTGTCATATGGCTCCTGAAACAATCATCCATCTCTTTCTAGAATGCCCTAATGCAATTCAGCCATGGGCTGTCCTCAATTTCTCTTTTCCAACTCAGAGTTATACTACATCACAAACTGATAATACACATTGGTTACACCACTTTATCCATACACCATTACCATCCACTCCTCATAAAATTCCTTCTACAACACTTCTACCTTTTGCATTATGGCATCTTTGGATTATAAGGAACAAAAACACTTTAGATCATCAAAGAATTCCTTTAAATATTCCCTTTATACTAAATATGGCAGCTGAATAATATTTTTTAACGAATCAAAAATTAAAAAACAAATTTGTAACACCTCTATACATAAAATGGCATCCACCAAATGCTACTACCTATAAACTAAATATTGATGGGTCTTGCTCATCTACCCAGCAAAAATATGGAATTGGTGGAGTTTTTCGAAACTACCAAGGCAACTGTATCATGGGATTCGCAGGCAAATCCAACCCAGGTACAAGTGTTCAGACAGAACTACTTGCACTACTCATGGGGCTGAAAGTTGCTATGCAATAGCATATCAAAACCATCATCATTGAGACAGATGCACATGCAATCATCGGTATGTTTAACTCAACTACTATGCACTACACTAATATCATTAACGATTGCAGGTTGTTACTCCTACAGCTGGATAGCCCTCCTATACAATATATCTACAGAGAGCAAAATTGAGTTGCAGATAGTTTAGCCAAACATTGAGCCATGCATGCACAGGAGAGCTGCATACTTTTTGGGAGACCACCATCTTTTGCAGAGCCTTCTTACCACCAAGATCATAACGGCATACTACAAAGGAAGCTCGTTACAATCAACTCCAGTAACTCAACACAACCGCTCTCTGCTGCAACTACTTTGTGTAATAGTACCGTTCTATCTAGTACTAATAGTAGTGTTCTATCTGGTACTCACTATCTTTTTAGTAATGATTTCCATACGGGAGTAATTGTAGTAAACTCTAGCTTAGTAACTATGATGCCTCTTATGCATCTTGTAAATTGTTTTCGTGCACCTGTTTAATTTACTATAATATAAGTACGTCTTTTTGAACAAAAAAAAAAATGAAAACCTAATGGATATGATAAGATTAGAAAAAGACAGTGAGATTGTCTCCATGCGTCTCTTTAGATTTATTTTGCTGTGGGTATAACAGAATCACATATATGTGTCCAATTCTGGAGTTCAAAACTAGTGGACATGTAGGTTGACTTCCCCGTTGGAAAAACACAACCACCACTCGTTCAAAATATCGACCCAAAATTAGCTGCCAAATCCATTCTTCACCTTCCATTTTCCACCACCCCACCAAAATGAAAAAAAGGGAAGAGAGAACCAAGATTTTTAATTTATATTTTCTTGGAAGAAAAAAATATGAGTAGTGCTCTGTCACCTTTCTTCATCCTGCACCTGTTGCTCCTTTCTCTTCTTCTTGACATGGCGAAGAATCTAGCAGAATAATTCTGTTATATTCTTCTTCACTTTCTCTCTCCACCCTTAACTAGTTTTTCTTCCTTTTAAGTCATGACTTCCTCTTACTGTTTGTCTTCAACTAGAAACACTACAAAGCCAGAAGCCTTGTTAGCTCACAAATCTCATCTTTTCTTTCCCAAACAGAGGCAAATCTGTGCCTTTCCTAGTGAAACTCAGTTTTTCAAGAAGGATACTTGCTCAGTTTTAAGACTAAGAAATTATGGTTTCATATACTCTTTTGCTGCCTTGTCATCTTTTGCTGGAGCAGAGGGTGATAAAGGTGAGAAGTTGGAAGTCCAAGAAAATGAAGATTCTGAGGCTTACATGCATGGAATGGCACAGGCATTCAATATATCTTCAAATACAGCTTCTGCAATTTCAATATGCATTGCATTGGCTGCCCTTGTTGTCCCAATTTTCATGAAATCTTTGGGTCAAGGATTGGCCATGAAGTATAAGATGTTGTCATATGCAACTCTGTTGTTTGGATTTTACATGGCGTGGAATATTGGAGCCAATGATGTTGCCAATGCCATGGGGACTTCTGTTGGTTCAGGAGCACTTACTCTCCGGCAGGCTGTCTTAACAGCAGCAGTTCTAGAGTTCTCAGGGGCACTGTTAATGGGAACACATGTAACTAGTACAATGCAGAAGGGGATTCTTGTGGCCAATGTTTTCAAGGGAAAGGATATGTTACTCTTTGCTGGTCTGCTTTCTTCTCTGGCTGCGGCAGGAACATGGTTGCAGGTACATCAACACACTACAACTACCCTTCAATCCAAGCAAGTTCGGATTGATGTTACTCATAAGAATCTGTCGAGTTCTTACTCGCCTATTCAAGCTAACTTAATGCCTATATGTCTATGAAATTAAGATTAACAAGAATGCATTTACAATTCCTGTATTTCAACCAAGCAAGGCAATTAGGTATATGTCTATCCTAATTGCGAATCTGTTCCACGATGCCCGGGTTCAAGAACCTACTCTATTTAATTCTATATGCAATCTAGAATTCCCACTTTCGAGTTCAACTCTAGATTCGTAGATAGTATTTCACTGTTAGCTACTCAGCAAAATAATTAAAAAAAGAATTAAATAAAAAAACCAATATGATAAAATCAACTTCGTCAAATTAAACTTCAAACATCAAAGTTCATGTATCACCCATGACCCTAGAACAATAGGCTTCCTAGCCACTCATGTTCATACAATCATCAAAAATAAAGTTTTCAAACATAAAACCAATGAGTACTAGAAAAGGGATGGAAGAATTGAACAAATCCGTGCTTCCGAGTGTTTGGCACTTTTGTTCTCCTCTCAAAGTCACGTTTCCCCTCAAAATAAGTTTAGGTTGGTTTTTATATGAGTTGGGGGCGTCTTGGGGTCAACATAACCGAGTCCTAGTCGGAATAGGACAAATTCACGCCTCGAGCGTCCAGGGCAGCGTGGGGCGCTGGCCCTGGCGCTCAAAAATTTCAGCTACTGTAAATTTCGCCACAGGCAGCGCCCCACACTGCCTGTGGCCCTCGGATCCCACTTTTTTCCTTTTCTTCCCAATTTCGCTCTAATTCGCGTCATTTCGTTCCAAATTGCATCCGAATGATTCCTCCACAGAGAAATACCACAAATGAGCACAAATCATCATATTATACATCTCAAATCTTCGAGACATGAGCAAAACGCGAGGCATTATATATCAAAATATACATACATTAAGCCGATTATCAAGAAGCATTAGTTTTTACATAAAATGTTGTTTTTGGTGCCATAATTGGTATGTTGAAGCATGCATTCAGGCTTCTTGTAGAAACAACTATGATTTATGGATTTGAGAAACCTTATTGAAATTCTTCTTCCACAAGGGGGAGTAAGGACTTGGAAGTGATGTTGATTATTTGGTAAATCATATGTTGGTCCTGCTTAGGTTGCATCATATTATGGTTGGCCAGTATCAACGACACACTGTATTGTAGGAGCCATGGTTGGTTTTGGTCTTGTTTATGGGGGACCTGGTGCAGTCTTTTGGAGTTCACTGGCAAAAGTAACTTCCTCATGGATGATCTCACCCTTGATGGGAGCAATGGCGTCCTTTCTTGTCTACAAATGCATCCGCAGGGTATGCTCCCTCTCATGTAGATACCAAACATGGACCTTTATTCAGTGCTAATTCTGATTTCTTTTCTCGATTTCCAGTTTGTTTATAGTGCTCAGAATCCAGGACAAGCAGCAGCTGCAGCTGCACCTCTTGCTGTTTTTGTTGGTGTGACTGGAATCTCATTTGCAGCCTTCCCTTTGAGCAAGACACTACCTCTAGCTATTGGCCAGTGTCTAGCCTCTGGCATAGTTTGTGCATTTGTATTTGATAAAATCATTCGAGGTCAACTCGGGCACCTCCTTGCCAAGTCCGATTCTAAAGAACTAGAGACAGAGTCAATCGGCACTAAAAACATTGGATTTCTTTCAGATATAGCAGGTCCTAAAGGAACCCAATTGAAAATAGTATATGGTGTTTTTGGTTATATGCAAGTCTTATCAGCCTGCTTCATGTCGTTTGCTCATGGTGGAAATGATGTCTCCAATGCAATAGGCCCTCTGGCTGCAGCATTGTCCATTCTACAAGGCGGACTCAGTGCAGCCGAGATTGTTATTCCTAACGATGTTCTAGCATGGGGAGGTTTTGGAATTGTGGCAGGGCTAGCAATGTGGGGATACAGAGTGATTTCAACTATCGGAAAGAAGATAACAGAATTAACGCCAACACGAGGATTTGCAGCTGAATTTGCAGCTGCATCGGTAGTATTATTCGCATCCAAGTTGGGGCTACCTATTTCAGCCACCCATACCCTAGTGGGTGCAGTCATGGGGGTGGGTTTTGCTAGAGGACTTAACAGCGTTAGAGCAGAAACTGTGAAGGAGATTGTGACTTCCTGGATTGTGACTATTCCAGCTGGTGCGTTCTTTGCTGTCACCTATACATGGATATTGACTAAGCTCCTAGCATACCTACTCTAAGTGAAAATTGAAAATAAAATTATGATGTATTTATTAATTGTAAATCACGTAGATATACCTTCTATAGTGATTTGAATTTTGGAACCTAATTGGATTCTCTTGATCGAGAGTAGTAGTCCATCAGTCTGGAGAAAAGAACGAGAAATCCGGTTTTGCAGCACATCAGTCCCCTAGTTAAATTGTTTTATCCCCTGATGAACTAGTGCTTCAGTCTTCAGCTAGTTCTGCTCATTTTATAGCTTCTTTCATAGAAGATCCAATATTTCATTTAACTTCCAAGCCTCTCAAAAGCTTTTTTTTGCTTTAACAATAGATTTTATATCGAACAAAATTATAATTTAACTATATTTTTAATATTTAGATCTTTTAAATAAATTAAATTTTTGGTTATTAAGTTTTTCCTTATTTGAATCATGTAGGTATTCCTAAAATTTAATAATTTAAAATGGAATAATATTTTATGTACATAACTTATTTCCATATTAGAATCGTGTAATCTATAACAAAGTAATCCTTGTTATTCGCTTTTTCAATGACAAAAAGTGTATCCTCACTCTTTTTATAAATTCCATATTATCCTTTTCCCCCGAAGTATTATAAGATTGTCCCTTAATTCGCTTGGTGTTTTGTTTTTTTGGTTCTATTCTAATTTCCTACTACTACTATTACGAGAGAATTTGATTTGGGTCTCACATTCCAAACAATAAATTTTGACTAAAAGCAAATAATATGAAAGAATTATCCAACATTTATGAATTATGTATATGGGTTTAGGATTTCGTCTAGTGTTGTTAGATTCAGTTTTCTCTAATACTAATTTTGATATTTCCCTCATATAATCATTTAAGTTGTAAGAATGTCCTACAATCAAATTTTATGTGTCATTTGAGCTATAATATTGGATCAACATTAGTGGTCATGTTTTTTTTGGTGATAAAATCATTTTTTCTCACTCCAACTTTTTACATAACAATCAAAGTTAATTGTCTTCCAATCTTGAACATATAGATATACATGATCCCTTCCTATCTCACAAAAAATGCCTATTATAAGCTCATTATTATGAAGTATCAACAATTGTTTTTTAATTAAAATCTTATTCAGACGGTGTACACACGCAAAGCGCGTACCGTAAGACTAGTAGAATATTAAAAGGAAATTAGAAGCTGTAAGACAAAAAGCATTTGTCTATCAGGAATCAAAGACTTCTCTGTATTATGCCTATAATTTGTTTACATCCACACAGATGTGATTAAATTTCCTCATCTTGTTTTTCTTTTCCAGGTTGTTGATACAGAGTAGTAAATTATAAAAACTTCTTGTGCTCCCTACTGGACCACTAGGTCCATGCACTTGTTGCAGCGTAATTGATTCAAAGAAATCAAAAATCAATATATAATATTAAATCTTACCTTTTGTATACGGTCAAAATCAGGGAAGGCCGATTTTAAGGCTTCTATGGCGTTTCAAGCCCGGCCTCGATGGGCTCGAAGCACAGTCTAAGGCTCGTCCCCAAAGCACTCACCTCGAGAGGGTATATTGAAGACTCATCACAGCGTACCTCGAGGCAGCGTGAAAATCGACGACCGACATGGAAAGGCGGAAAATTCCCGAGGGCACGTGATTAGAAGTGACAGAGTCTGCGAGAAATAGTACAAATCCGTACTAAGCCATTATACAGCTGTGCCAATAGCATTTCCTCGTCATTATTAGGCATGTACTATATTGGGATTTCCTCCTTCCTATATAAAGGGGAACCTTGTCATTTTGTAAAGAAGGATGAGCATTGAATACAATAGAACATTCTCTGCTTTTCTTGCCTAAACATGCTCAACAATTATTCTACAGATTTATTGCTTGTTCATTTATTGTTCTTCACTTATTGCCCATTATTAACCGCAAAAGGCTATCTTCGTGACCTTCGATATCATCGTTTCATCATCAGTTGTTCATTGCTAACTGCCCTAACTAGACCTTGAGGCCCCATGTTCCAGCCAGCTCGAGCCCAGTCTTGCGACAACATTGGTTTGCATATCTTATTCTCTTTACTTACACTTAGCATCTATTGCCAAACAACTAGTATTGAAATAAATCATATATTATTAGAGCCACAAAATTAAATATAATTGTTAATACCATTTTCAAGGTAAACAGTTTGGCACCCACCGTAGGGCTAAAAATAATAGTGATTGTTTTGGTGCTAGTTTTCTGAAAACACAAGTTATTCTTCACACTTTTTCTTGTCCAAGAATCTTTGATTTCAAGTCAAAAAAATATCTAACTCAGCAAATGCACACGAAAACAACGGCATTGGGCTTCATGGAGAGAACGGTGCAGATGCCGGTGTACCACCGCAAAACCCTGGGGTGGCACTAGCACAAATCCCCATCAACGTGGGCTCACGCAACGCTATGCATGTCGATGTGAGCTCTCATACTAACGGAAGTGTGCGCGCGGAAAACCAACATGAAGCACAGGGGACTCCAGCTCGGGAGGAAAGAGAAGTTAGCTTTCAAGTCATTTTTGAGATGTTGCAAGCACAACAAGTGGCTATTGCTCAGCTACAAAGTCAACAAAAAACTCCAAGCACAGCAGCACCGAAAATGGCTCCTCGAGTCGAGCAGGCACTAGAGAGATCGAGTAACAATAGGTCAGCACCAGACCCCGCTATTATGAAGATGCTCGAGGACCTCACCAAAAGGATTGAATCAGGAGAAAAGAAGATAGAGGCTAACGATAAAAAGGTGGAGACTTATAACTCGAGGGTCGATCCGATCCCGGGTGCACCCCCGATTCTGAAGGGTGTAGATTCAAAAAAGTTCGTGCAGAAGCCATTCCCATCAAATGCGGCTCCTAAGCCCATTCCGAAGAAGTTCAGAATGCCCGGTATCCCGAAATATAACGGAACCACAAACCGCAATGAGCACATTACCACTTATACTTGCACTGTGAAAGGGAATGACCTAAAGGATGACGAAATTGAGTCTGTCTTGTTGAAGAAATTTGGAGAAATACCGTCAAAGGGGCCTATGATGTGGTATCATAACCTACCCCTGAATTCAATATATTCATTTGCCATGTTGGCAGATTCTTTTGTGAAGGCACATGCCGGTGCCATCAAGGTTCCTACACGGAAGTCCGACGTCTTCAAGATCAAAAATGGGAGAACGAGATGCTGAGGGAATTTGTATCTCGCTTCTAGATGGAGAGAATGGAATTACCACCGGTCTCCGATGACTGGGCAGTGCAGGCCTTCACTCAGGGCTTGAACAAGCGAAGCTCGATAACTTCAAAGCAGCTAAAGCAAAACTTGGTTGAGCATACTGCCGTGACTTGGGCAGATGTACACAACAGATACCAATCAAAGATCAGGGTTGAGGACGATCAATGGGAGCCCCCTCTGGCTCAGTATATCCAAGCAGGCTCCTAGAAAAGGAACCAAAGTCCACAGAAAGGGAGTCGAGACCAGGCAAAGAAAGGTATCAACCATACTTCAAAGATCGAAGAGACACTTCGAGGCGAAATATACCTCGAAATGATCGAGGAGTAGATCGAGGCCAAAATTCCCGGGGACTTATGAGCAAGACCGGGTTAGACAGGCATTCGAGGCCACTGGAGGAACCCCGATTTTCGGAATACAACTTCAACATCGATGTCTCAGACATCGTATCAGCCATGGGTAGAGTCAGGGACACCAGATGGCCAAAGCCCGCACAGTCAGATCCTTCCCCAAGGAACCCCAACTTGATGTGCGAATACCATGGCATTCACGATCATAGGACCGAGGATTGTAGGCAGCTCCGAGAGGAGGTGGCCCGGCTGATCAACGAAGGGCACCTTTGAGAATTCCTCAGCAATCGAGCCAAGAACCACTTTCGAGAAAGAGAGGCAAACGGAATGAATGTACCAGAAGAACCTCAGAACGTCATTCACATGATCGTTCGAGGAACCGACTTCCCACAGAGACCCATGTTCAAACGGGCCAAAGTGTCCATCGCAACGGAAAGGCAAACTCGGAGCTATATACCCGACGACACCCTTACATTTAGAAAAGAAGACATCGAGGCCTTGTCCCAACCACATAATGATGCACTGGTAATTTCTTTTCTTTTGAATAACGTTCAAATTAAACGTGTGCTCGTGGATCCAGGTAGCTCGACCAACATAATCAGGTCGAAGGTGGTGGAGCAGCTCGGACTGCTCGATTAGATCATATCCACCTCTTGAGTCCTCGATGGATTCAACATGGCAAGCGAGACAATGAAGGTAGAAATCATCCTCGTAGTCAACGTGTCCGGTACATTTCAAGACACCAAGTTTCACGTCATCGAAGGTGACATAAGGTACAACGCCTTACTTGGAAGACCGTGGATACACAACATGAGGGCGGTACCATCCACTCTTCATCAGATGATGAAGTTCCCAACAAAAGATGGTACAAAAGTGGTGTACGAAGAACAACATGCAGCAAAGGAAATGTTCGCGGTAAATGACATGGCACCAACATCGACTCTCCCCGTCCAGGATGAGTCATGAAATAGGCCAACCTCTGAGGAATAGGTGGTCTGTGAGCATTCGAACGAACATGACGAAGAAGACTTCCTCACTCCTCGGACCTTCGTTGCCCCCGAGGAGTCGGATGCAACAAAATCAACGGTCGAAGAACTCGAACAGGCCGTCGTGATCGTGCATCTTCCGGATCGAAAGGTATACCTGGGAACGGGATTAACCCCCGAACTCAGGAAAAGACTCATCCAATTTTTTATTAACAACATTGATTGTTTTACTTGGTCCCATTTAGACATGACAGGGATCCCGCCGAAAATAACCACTCATCTACTAAGCGTTGATCCTGGGTTCAAACTGGTGAAGCAAAAAAAGGAGGCCTCAATCTGAGGTAAAACATGCGTTCATCAAAGACGAGGTAACAAAACTCCTCAAAATAGGATCAATTAGGGAGGTAAAATACCCCGAATGGTTGGCTAATGTAGTAGTGGTTCCCAAAAAAGGAAATAAATTAAGAAAGTGCGTAGATTATAAAGACTTGAATAAAGCATGCCCTAAAGACTCATTTCCATTGCCCAACATCTATCTCTTGATCGATGCCACGGCCGGCCACGAGATCCTCACTTTTCTCGATGCCTACTCCGGGTATAATCAAATTCAAATAAACCCAGACAACAGGGAAAAGACTTCATTCATCACGAAGTATGGTACATACTATTATAATGTAATGCC